GTAAAGTAAGAGACCTAAAACTTCTTTAAGAAATACCTTATGAAATACCTCAAAATTGTCCTTTTCCCCTCCCCTTTCCCACGGTGATCGCATTCCATCGTCTTAAAAAATCTCCGCTGATCATTGGAATTGTAGATCGAACAAAGATGAATGGTGACCAGCCACTTCCATTCAGCGAGTCAGAGCTGCCTCTGTTTCGTATATAAATTTCCGCGGTGATAGCTCAGGTATGGATCAATCTTCATCGGCAACATATAATGTCTTTTACACAGTGATGGTGTGAAAGGGGATCCAGGCAAACGTGGCTAAGGAAATACCAGGAAGAGGACGAAGAAGAAGCCGTAACGAAAAAGGCAATCGACGAGTTGGAGATTTTCGTTTCATAAATATTTTACAACTTTTTTCTATTTATTTCTCTTTTTCAATCACTTTTCAATCATTTCTTTCTATACTTTTTGTTACCCACGACATTTATCTCTACCCACTACGCACGACCCACGACATTTAGCTACACTCGATATTATGAATACGTTGTATATCCTGGTTGAGGAGACCGAGATTGTACGTCTCGTGGGAGGAACATACCGTAAAATTCCGAAAATAAGCCCCGGGGCTTATATTTTTCAAAGGCCCTTTTTGAAGGGCTTTTTTTTTGGAGGGGCTTCTATTCGGAAGGGCTTGCCTACGGAGGGAAATTTGCGTCTCAAACTTGATAGGGCTAGCCTTATAGTTGGAAGTAAATTTACCATTGTTCTTTGTTGTGCTTTGTATTTGAGGGCAATTTTCCAGGTACAAGCCCCTGGGGGGATAATATTTGGAGGGGCGATTTAACGAAGGGTTTTTTGCGTTACCGGTTTGGGGGCCTTATATTTGGAGGGGCTTATACATGGAGGGGCTTATTTTCGGAATTTTACGGTATACGTCGTATTCTCAGGGCAGGGCTGAATGGAAAAGCTCGTTTAGTGTGTAAGGGGTGACATGGTCATGAGCGTAAAAGGTACTGATGTTCGGTTGTAGGTTTAGTATAAAGAACAATTTCAGTGATCGATACCATCACAGAGGGACACCTTGACGTAGAGAAAGGAGAAAGATTTGAATGAACAGTTTGATATAAATTTAATAGTGGGATGAAGGGTATTAAGGTAAGAAATGGAATAATACTTTTATAGTTAGAATGATCGCATGAATTTGAGGAGGTCGCAAAGACATTGTGTGTATGGTGGATGTAGAGCGGTCATTAGAAGTGACAGCATGCGCAAATAATACCCTCATCGTTCTCTCATCCTACTGTGTTTATATCTATACCTCTCGTTTCCTTCCGACGACTACTAACAATCCGGAAGTCCGCGATTCGAGGACTTTCTGTTTCGGAACCAGAGCTCTCGATCAGTGATACTAAACCGAGATCGACAACTGTTTTCAGTTGTCTGTACTGTTATCGACAATAGCTCTCGATCAATCAGCGGGTGAAAAGTCGCTCAGCCATTGTAAAAAAAATAACTGCAACTAATTATTTCATCGGCAGTTGTAATAAAACAGTCATTTCTTTAAGTTCCGTACTAGGTTCCGCGGTCGGCAGTTCCACGGATTAGTCTTACCCTGGCTAAACTACACACAAAGTTTATAGAAGGTTGTAGAAGATAGTAATGTTAACAATGTTAAGTCTGAAAAACACTTTACAGACGCACTCTTCACTGATTGGAACCATTTTCTTTACCCCAGTACAGTAAAATGTATGAAAAAGAATTGAACCTCGATATTGCGAAATCTCGTTACCATGGTTACAGCGACCAAATTTTGCCAGTCCCTTGGTCTTCGTTATTTAGAGATTCCACTTTAAATGAAAATAACGGCAAAACCGTTTTTAAGTTTCTCAACACGGTGATGCCAAAAACCCTTCAGGGATATCTAAAGGGAACTTTTTATAAATTTTATAAATAATTGTATTATACTCTTCATTTCATTTTTCCTTTTTCTGTATTTTCTGGCTGCGGTAGGGAAGAACAGTTCCATGATATCCACGCTTGAATAAATCCAAAATTACTTGCACGTAAAACTAGCGTTTAATTATAACGAACTGTGGAATTTTCCTGTTCCCAAACAAACTCTATCATTCATTTCAACGATGTTCGGATCTTAAGTCCGAAGGGCAATTTTTTGGCATTCGTTTGTTTGGCAACTTTCCGTTGGTCAATTTAGCTTGGAATTGCTCCAATTATTGGGTCAATTTCATTAAGCAGGTGAATGTCTTTTCATCGATAAACTTAAAACTCTTTGTGTTTAAGTTTTTCATCTTTTTATAGCTACCAGCTTACCGCTGTCACATTTCTAGCGTGTAATATTATTAGTTTACTTTCTTTTCATATAATAACGCGTATATTGTCGGGTTACCCACTGCGGCAGCTTTATAGACGATTACCTTGCACTAAAGCAGCCTTTTCCATGTAAAATTTGTATTCGATATAACTTTATGTCCATCTATAACTATAACTAATAACGACAGTTAAGTGCAGAGGAAATTCATTTACGATATTTATAACATAACTAAGATAGTAGGCACGTTCTGATTGGTAAAAAAGCCTATGGTTTATTGCGCCGGTTAACTCATAGTTTACTTAACGTTATTTCATAAAAGCAATAGACCACACTTTCTATGGGTTTACCGGCGTAATAACCACTTGTCTATTACTTGAATAAATCATACTCACTCAAGCTTATTCATGAACGCTTATTCCCCGCAATGCACTGTAAATAAACAAGGTATTGGCGCAAAACGAGGGACTGCTCGTAGTCTACAAAATATCGGCACAACTCGGAAAGAGGAGTACATTGACCTACAGAGACCGAAACACGATTAAAAAAATCGACGAAAACAGCGAAGCTGCGATAACCTCGATCAACTGTCAGAAGTCCCTCTTAAGTTTTGAAAACAACTAAGTATAAGCGCAATAGAAAGCTTTCGGAAAGCTTTTGCAGAAATTGATATTCTTACTATTTCATTTTATAACACCGTAAGACGATATTCTAAAAAGGGGCGACCGCCTATCGTGAAAACCATTTTAATCTGGCAAATTGCACACTCCTTGAGTCAAAAAGTGAGAAATTAGACGTCCAGATGTTTCAAAACTGGTGCTATCCCCGATGTATTTTGGAATTTTAAATTTAAACCTGACAGGGATCGGTTATTTTTCAACGGGTCTTTATTATGGCAGGTCGTTGTTGTCTTGGGTTGGTGCTCTTGCTGGTTTGTGTTTTTTGGGGCGCTTGGCTGAGCCATATCACAACTGCTCAAGTAGGTAAGGCGAAAACTAACAACAAAGGTAGACATTACAAATTTCGTAAGTGTTGGATCCTGAATATGTACACATTTTTTCAATCAAACTATTCGGTCACCTACTCGCTTACCCTCAGCCCGAGCGAGTTATATGCCACGTGCGATTGTGTAACTGTATGTAAGCATTGTCATTTTTTACGCAATCGTGGCATACTTTCCCTCGATTTCCCATTTTTGTAAGAATCGAACGCAATGCTCGGCAACTCGGGTAATTACCGCACATTTCGTGATTAAAGATGGCTTAAACCCAATGGAATTGCTGTTTTCTCGGTTTTTGGAGTTTCCCATCTGAGTCTAATTCCTGGCTTCAGTTGCATGTGGGGAAACTGAGGCGAAAAGTAAATCTGGTGCTTCAAGCACTTATGAAAAAAAGTGAGTGATGCTTTATTATCCGAGCGTTTTCCGCTCGTGGGTAAATATTGCCTTAAATATGCTTCTCTTCAATTAGATTTTATTTTGGTTTTTGGATTCACCTGCATGGTTTAGAGCAACAACCTTTAACATGATGAACGCATGAACTCTTTTTTACAATCTTAGGACGCTAAAACTAACTTTAACTTCTTTTTTTAATTACTGGTTATTGCTGTGTATGCTTAGATCTTTTTTGTGCTTAAATATATTTGAACGTCTATTTGCCTAATTTTCTTGGACTCTGGCTCTCGTTACCGCCTCTGTTTTCATACTTCCAATGATGCAAGTTTAATCTAGCTCCGTTAGGCAATGTCTAGTGTTAATTTGGTATATGTTAATTGGACATGTGCTAGACAAAACAGTCTAACTGCTCAAGGTCAGTCAAGGATCACTTGTGGTCTATAGCCTTCGATTAGCTAGTTAAATTCACACTCAGCAAACTGCGAATAGAACAGATCTCAAAATAGGTTTCTTGAACAAATAATCGAATAACACGGAGAGAAGTTCGTTGCCGCCAAAATCCTTGGAGATTCTTGGCTGTTTATACTTAAGATGCGGTGTCAATCTTAAAGAGGCAACTGGTCTTACAGTAAGAAAAAAGTCGTCCTTGACCAGAGTGTCACAAAGTTATCCTTGAATTAACTGGTAACTAGATAAAAAATTTTCAAATTCCATTTACAGCCCGCACTCCAGTTGCCGTTTGGCCCGCGAAAAGGAGCGCTTTAAAGAGTCCTGTTTGTCATTTGCCCGTGTATAGTGATCAGAGTGATAATAATGGGACAATCACATGACTTTTGGAGGGCAAATAGTTTATTTCTGGCTCGCTGGGGCGCAAATGATACTACGTACGATGGGCACAAATAAACTATATTCCCGACAAAAGTCATGTGATTATCATTGTTTTCATACACAAGGCCAAAGCGTAGAAATTTATTTCATAAGGTAAGATTGTTTAAACACGAAATCATTATGCAGGCTTCACATTCCATTTACAGCTCAGCCATTTAGTGCTGATAAGTTAGGCTACTTTACTCAGACAGTTCAACCTTTCTATCGATATTACAATTGCAAATCAACATATTTATGCTACTCCATAGATAAGGATCAATTTTTGGGTAATTCGTTGGATTTGCACTTCGCATCTCTTACTGCACGTAACAAGATATCCTTTAACGGTTGTGCTCTAAACTACTGACCTTCCCATTATTATTTCGTAGACGGTTGTCGACGCCTCAAGTTCCTTCCACCAAAGAGTGGTTACTATTTGAGGGATCACGTGTTTTTAAATCTTACCATTGGAGTGAACACACCTTGTCATCACAGATGCGTTATGGAAAGTAGATGCGTGTCAGTAAACATTGGTCCTCCCGTGAACGACAAAGTTGTGTGTGAGCTTAGTGATTCGGATCACATACAGCACTCACAAGATCTGAAACCAAGACAAGGCTGGAACTACAGAGGTATCACAGAGGTAGGAATCACAAGTAGTTTTTCAAATGGATGATAATGATGATGATGATGATGATGATGAGGAGGAGGAGGAGGAGGAGGAGGAGAGGAATCAGGATGCTAACGTAAACAATACTGATAGTGATGACGATGTTCAAATCTTGTTTTCAAGCTGTAACAAATCTAAATTCCTGAATTTGACGGTTTGACGAATTTATATTCTCTTTAGAATCTCTGTGCCATTAAACCTTGCCTTAACAATGGAACGTGCTTAACAGGATATACCAGCAAAATATACCTCTGTATTTGCACTTCTGGCTTTACAGGAGAAAACTGCGAGAAAGGTAAAGTACACTTTCAATAACTTGTTTCGTATCAGCCTTGCCGTAGACTGTGTTAGGAAAAGGCGAACAAACTATTGGTGCCCATCCGATTGGGCAACAACTTGGCGGCCAGAACCCAACACAGACATCTGTCGCTGAGTTTTGCTACGCAAGCGTAAATTCACCTCTCCAGGAACTCATAAACATTACAGTGATACTTTTTCTGATACAATGACTGTACAGAGAACAAATTCCCCCAAAATAAGTCACTTTTCAGACAGTTCTCTCGGGCGCCGTGTAATTGCCGCGCCAGGCAAAAGCTTAGAAATTCAAGCGTACTGTATGACAAAACAAAGTGCATTTTCGAAGTAAAAATTGGAGTAAATATTATAGTTTAGGTGCTCTAAGACTTTATGAAAGCAAACACTCAGAAGGATCGATACATAATTCTTTTGTTTTGAATTTTGATGATGTCATGTGAAAGCCTATTGACGAGGCGAAAAAAGAAACCCCGAATATTACAAGATCATGGTAGACAATAAGTATGTTTTAACATTTGAGCTTAGTCGGTAAATCAATTTTTGGGAACCGTTTTAACTGATAAATTATATTTCGTACGATTTTGCGAATAGCTTCTTCGTTCAGTTAGCGTCTCCTCGTTACAGGAGGCCTTTTAAAGTTCACTGCTTCGAGCCAGACCATTATATTCTTCTTTAAAAAAAAACGCACTAGCAATATCTACCCTGCGAATACAGCCTCCTCTTATCGCTTTCTCATCATCGAAGAGCGATAAGAGGCGGCTGACGAAAGGATTGGGGAACGCTGACCTCAATCTTCTCGCGTTGGTGTTCAGGGGAGGGACTCTATCGAGTCCGGCGCAAGCTAATGTGGTGTCAGGTTTCCCTGTCAATTAAAACAAAATAAAAAGCGAAAAATAATTGAGACTGAAAGAATAATTTTTAACTGCTAGTTTACTTTCATCACAGTTCCTAAGTCGTGCAGTGACATGAAGAAAATTCATCCCATTGCAAAAAGTGGACATTATGTCATTGATCCAGATGAAGAGGGAATGTTAGCTCCTTTTACTGTTTATTGCAACATGACTGACATGAATGGCGTTGGCGTGACAGTGATCAGTCACGACAGCCAGAACAGAACACGAGTGAAAGGATATGAGAGCCCAGGAAGTTACTCGCGTGACATTCATTACACTGGAGCGAGTCTGTCTCAGCTTGCCAGTCTCACCGCAGTCTCCCTGCGCTGTGAACAGTTTATCATGAACGAGTGTTTACACTCAGGGATGTATAGGAACCAAGTATGGGATTGGTGGGTGTCACGTGATTCCTCTAAGATGACGTACTGGGGTGGAGCATCTGTCAATTATAAGTGCGCTTGCGGGATGACCCACTCATGTGCGGACCCTAATTATGGCTGTAACTGTGATGCTAATGACCACGTATGGCGAAATGACAGCGGTCTTCTGACTGACAAGACAAAGCTTCCAGTAAAACAGCTCAGGTTTGGTGAAACTGGAAATAGTCACGAAGACGGTTACCACACTCTGGTGAAATTGAAATGCTATGGCTTAGCATAGAAGTTATTTCCTTTACAGTGAAGCCAAGTCAAGCGTTCTCCTTTAAATTTTATTAATGGAACTGATTCTTTGAAAGTTGAATCAGTAATCATAGATTTCAAATCAAATAGTAGAGGAGACTGTTTATGAAAGGTGGAGAACATCAAAGATAAAAACTACGGTGCTGTAGTTTTTGATGAAAGCCCCCGATAGTGCACAATCATTTATTTTCTGCAAATCATATCGTGACGGAATAAACTGATCCGGGATGGTTTATTTACCAACCAGAAGTTTCCGATTTGATTGTGATCCTCGGCTGCATGACCTAAACGTCTTATACTTGAGCTTTTCCACTTTGTATTCTAGTTTTTCATGGGGAACTGATATTATTGCCCCCGCCCCCTCAAATAAGCCCCCGGCCGGGGTTGATAGCGGATTTACGTTAAATTTAGTTTTATCTCTGCATTCCTGCATGCATAATGAGCAGCGAATTTACACGATAGATACCCTTGGTACAGGAGAGGTTTTTCCCTGGCGTGCAGCAGGTTACTAATCAGAGTCATCTTGTTCCCGTCCCATGAATCGAAAGGTCCAAAGGGGACGAAAAGAAGTGGGACCCTGGGAACGAGGTCACTGAGATAATCCTCGAACACAGTCTCTCCTACTGCTACCGTATTGTAAAACGAGAAGACCTCGGGGAAGAGCCTGTAGCTTAGTTAGACCTCAGCCCCATTTTAAGTTTAGTTTCCAGTAGCATAATAACGACAGCTAAGTGCGGAGGAAATTCATTTACGATATTTATAAAATAACTAAGATATCACGGCGTAATAACCCACGTGTCTATTGCTTAAATAAATTATAGTCACTCAAGCTTATTCATGCATGGAAGCTTATTCCCCGCAATGCACTGTAAATAAACAAGGTATTGGTGCGAAACGAGGGACTACTCGCAGTCTACAAAATATCGGCACAACTCGGAAAGAGGAGTACATGGACCTACAGAGACCGAAACACGATTACAAAAAGCGACGAAAACAGCGAAGCCGCAACAACCTCGATCAACCGTCAAAAATCCCTCTTAAGTTTTGAAAACAACTAAGTGTAAGCGCAATAGAAAGCTTTCGGAAAGCTTTTGCAGAAATTGATATTCTTACTATTTCATTTTATAACACCGTAAGACGATATTCTAAAAAGGGGCGACCGCCAACCGTGAGAACCATTTTAATCGGGCAAATTGCACACTCCTTGAGTCAAAAAGTTTAAACACACTAGATAATTAACTATGAGAAATTAGACGTCCAGATGTTTCAAAACTGGTGCTATCCCGGATGTATTTTGGACTTTTTGAATTTAAGCCTGACAGGGATCGGTTATTTTTCAACGGGTCTTCATTATGGCAGGTCGTTGTTTTCTTGGGTTAGTGCTCATTCTGGTTTGTGTTTTTTGGGGCGCTTGGCTGAGCCATATCACAAACGCTCAAGTAGGTAAGGCGAAAACTAACAACAAAGGTAGACATTACAAATATCGTCGGTGTTGCATCCTGACTATATACACATTTTTACACTTAAACTATTCGGTTACCTACTCGCTGACCCTCAGCCCGAGCGAGTTATATGCCACGTGCATTTGTGTAACTATATGTAAGCATTGTTATTTTTTACGCTATCGTTGCGTACTTTCCAATTTTTGTAAGAATCGGACGCGATACTCGGCAACTCGGGTAATTACCGCACATTGCATGATAATGATGGCTTAAACCCAATTGAATTGCTGTTTTATCGGTTTTTGGAGTTTCCGATCTGAGTCTAATTCCTGGCTTCAGTTGCATGCAGGGAAACTGAGGCGAAAACTAAATCTGGAGCTTCAAGCACTCATTGAAAAAAGTGAGTAATGCTTTATTATCCGATCGTTTTCCGCTCGTGGGTATCATATGCTGAATATTGATTAATGTGCTTCTCTTCAATTAGATTTTATTTTGGTTTTTGGACTCACCTGCATGGTTTAGAGCAACAACCTTTATTATGATGAACGCATGAATTCTTTTATATAATCTTAGGACGCTAAAATTAATAACTATCTTTTTTTAATTACTGATTATTAGTGTGTATGCTTAGATCTTTTTTGTGCTTAAATCTTGATATTTGAACGTCCATTTGCCTCATTTTCTCGGACTCTGGCTCTCGTTACCACCTCTGTTTTTATACTCCCAATGATGCAAGTTTAATCTAGCTCCATTAGGCAATGTCTAGTGTTAATTTGGTATATTTTAATTTGACATGTGCTAGACAAAACAGTCTAACTGCCCAAGGTCAGTGAAGGATCAGTTGTCGTCTATAGCCTTCAATTAGCTAGTTGAATTCATTTTCGCACACTCAGCAAACAGCGAATAGAACAGATCTCAAAATGGTTTTCTTGAACCAATAATCGAAAAACATAGAGAGAAGTTCGTTCCCTCCAAAATCGTTGGAGATTCTTGGCTTTTTATACTTAAGATGCGGTGTCGATCTTAAAGAGGCAACTGGCCTGAGAGTAAGAAAAAAGTCGTCCTTGACTAGAGTGTCACAAAGTTATCCTTGAATTAACGGGTAAATAGCTAAAAATTTTTCCTTATTTCTTCTTTTTTTTAATAATCACTTAAAAGCTCAAAAAACAACCACCTCTTTTTTGCTTAGCACAAGACTTGATAATGAACCATGTTACACTTCTTAGGAGAAGAACCTCTCGGCAGGTGTCTCGGCGGGACTGCCAAACCGCCCAACGAAAAAGGCCATTATGAAAATCCTTTCGATCAAGAGCAATAATCATTTGCGTTTTATCCAACATCGAATGGAGTCTATAGAGTCTTGCAAAAGTTTGTCAAACACTGAGATAACTGAGTTAAGTATAGAGTTTCGAGGAAACTTACATGAGACTAAAGAAGCTTGTAGAGAGACTTAAATCGATCAGATGGTCTTATATGATAGGAAGATGTAATATACTACACCCTCTAGAGAGCCAAAATAGACTGTCTGTTGAAAGAGAGGCCTTTTCTTTAGCACTTTCAGCGACCAAAGGACACTCCTTCGAGAACTTGGTGTGGCGCGAAGAAACTTTTGAATCCACCCAACAGAGTGCACAAATGTGCTGCAACAAGAACCCATGGCTGCAATTATTTACACTCACCACGTAGAGTGATCTTCGGCTTCTCAACTTAACCGACACCATGCTGATAATAGACAAATTTCAATAAGGGCGTCACGGATCGAAAATAAAGCTAGCAAGAGCGAAGTTTTCCGAACTGCTCTATGTTCGGTATACATGTCGTTAGGAAGTCATTGTTTTCAACTTGCTGAATACTGTTTTTGGAAAAGAAGTCAATTAGGAGCCGGATAATAGGACAATCACATGACTTTGAAGGGCATAGTTTATTCGTGTCCCTCATAGCATCATTTGCGCCCAAGCGGAGCGAGGGTGCAAATGATGCTAAGGGGGACACAAATAAACTATATGTCCAACAAAAGTTATTTGATTATCATTATTATCAATACACAAGGCCAAATCGTACAAAATTTATTTCGTAAGGAAAGACTGTTAACATGAAATTACGTTGCGGGCCGCAAATTCCATTTCAGTACATGGACAAAGATTGGCCTGACCAATGATTGAAGTACAAACAGAATTCCACAAGACCAGTATGATTAGAGAGTCTCCGTCGCAATTGGTGTATGAACAACAACAGCTTATAAATTGCTAATATAACTTGCAAAAGGTGTAGCAACAAGAAATTTGAAGAGGATCTATCATGGCTTCACAATTTGCATCAATTCGTTTCCAGACAATAGGGATTTTGTTTCCTGGATTTTGGATGATTCTCTTGCCTTGTAGGCTATGCAAGTTTGGTTAAGAGTCAGACACCTTACCCTACGAAGTCGTTCGTGTCTCTTGGCGTCACATAGTTAGTTTATTTGTTTTGGGATCTGTTAAAGGAATTTTGCTATATAGGCTGCCAAGCGAACATATATGGTCTATTGAGGCTGGTCAGTAAAACGTAATATATAGATTTAGCCAGGGCTAAAAGGGAAGCTCCCATTAAAAAATTCACAATTTAAATCAAACAATAAACTTGTAATCAATAGATCAGGGCACATTCATGTAACTTTTGAGGCAAAGGCTAAGTGATTCTAGAGAAAAATAATTTGACAGTCCAAGAGTGAAACAAATTTTTCATCGAGTTAATAGTCTTATTTGTACACCCAAAAATAGCAATCATGTTCGATCACAGTAGATTGGGCCTAGACCTATTCGTGTATTGTATTTGCATTAGCTGTTGCTCCGTTTGAGAGACCATGGATGATTGGATAACCCCGAAATATAATTTTAAGAAACACACGCGCCACGATAGTCCTTAGTGGCAGCCAATTTACAAGTTGTATTCCTCTGTCTAAAAAAAGGGAGGCCAACATAAAAAAATCAGGCCGGATTTTTTGTGTTCGACAATTTTACTTTACAAGTAAATCTTGGCGACGAATCCGTTGACGTGGCGTGTAAACCAGCCAAAACACACTTTTTCTCATCACGTCTCAAGTAAGCGCAGTATTATGAGGCCCTTTTTTATCATAAAGACCTCGGACAGAATTTTGTTCTTTTTTGCCCTATTTAAACTTATAATTCTGCAGTTTTTCACAATTTTGCAAGACAAATTGCACTCATTCAATATCAAGGACGATCAAAGCACGCGCTTCCTTTGCACAACAAATTATAGCATTGACCACATTATAAAACGTTTTCATGACGAGAATTCCATAATGCCGGGACTTTTCAGTAAAGAAAAATCTGGCCCTATGTGATATGCAGGGTAATAATTATGGGCTTTTAGTGAAAACGATAAAAAAGATTCCCAAAACCACCTTTTCGGCCAGCCGGACGGGTTCTCACTTTGGACAGGCACCAAATTTGCAGTGCCGATTAATAGAGTTCACATTTACGCTTCAACATAGTAGAGAATTTGTTATGTTTAGGTTTTATTTCCCTTTATTTATAAA